CTGTCTTATTTGTTGAGTTATTCGAATGGAAAGCTGGTCCACATGCACTTTCCTTTTCTTCCTCTTCCTTGTCTGGTGAATCTGTTTCAATGTCAAAATTGACCAAATTATTTGATTCAGAGGATTGGAGACCCATTTGCCTGTGAGTTGAATGTGCAGTGTAATTGCTGGGTTTATTATTATATATTTTGTCATCTGTGTCTGGCGAATCTATTGTAAGATCACGAATACGCTCGGTCATGGAAGGACCACACTGTTGTGACTGGCCTGTCATTGTAATTTGCTTAGATTTGACCATAGAAGCCTTGTCCAGATCACCATCACCAACAAGGCATTTGGCAGGCGTTTCGTCATCTGTATTGTCAATGGGTGTTGCTGAAGTAAAGTCTAGCTCTTTGGGTTGAGGCTGGTAAACATCAGGTGATGTTCTTGTCGTGATTCCTGAAAGTAAAACAAGAAATGTTGGGTATATATTAAACTATTAATGACAGATTCAAACTGTGCTTTAAGTGTTGGGTATATCTAGTCTACTTCCAGTCCAATGACAAAAACTGCCAGTACAATTTGGGAAAAGATTTCACTCTTGTTTTATTTATATATATGTATACACATATAGATGGAATTGAAATGTGCAACACAACAAAAGCATGTTGGCCTGTCAAAGATTTGAAAACAATGTGTCTGCTATCTCTGGGCATCTATTGATGATCAAGTTCTAATTTTGGTATCTTGAACTAACTAGATTTAGTCCATCGGAATAGGATATATTTGATTTGATAATACGTTCTCATGTATTGATAGGTTTTACACTTGCAGAATATGTATTTGTGTTCCTGAAAGCATCCCGGTCCATAACACAATCTTATATAAGTATATTTTCAACGAAATCAGCAAATTTCAGACTGCCAATTTGCACTTTGACTCAGCATATGATATGATCTAATAAAATCGTGTTTTGTATTCCACCGATTTTGATATAATATTTAAATAATTTCATAATGTATAATTCATATGTTATAGTAAAGTGCATGTCAGTGTTGGTGAAGTGGATCAGAGTTGTGATTAAAAAACAAAACAATAAACGTTCTTGTCATGAGGTGTGTGTTTTTTTATTCTATACTTTCCATACAGTGAGTCTCAATTTATTAACAAGTCTCCATCCCATAGTTGTCAAATAAAAATATGTACTACTATATTAGCTCTTACATAATAAATCAGTATTTTGCATTATGTAATGACGCGGCTTATATACATATATTCTACATGATCCTAGTTCGAATATTCATGCATCCTGAACTTTGTGACCTCTCACGTACAACTCCGAGTATAACAAAACATGTCATTTTCACAATGTGCATATTCTGTATGATTTACCTACCCATTTCTTGTTGAAATCGTTTCCATAGTACAGCTTGTTCAGTTTCATGAAGCATGTCTTTTAATATCGTTGTATTATCTTCGGATAAGTGCTCCTTCTGTATTAATAGCTTGAATAATTCTAATCCTGTCTTGACATCTTCAAGCCGTGCCTCACCCACGTTCTCTGGGCACAGAAACTTCATTCTTCTACATTTCCTTTCGTTAGATCCTTGCTGATATTTAACAAGGCTAGCTTGAAACGAGGAATTCCTGAAGATCGTGGTTGTTCCTCTGCCATTTTTATTAATTGTTATACACTGCACTGTACAAAAGGCCCTTTAGCCATATTGTTCATCCCACACAACATTGCCTTTAATTCGAATTTTCAAGTCAGAAAAGACCATGTAGCCATGTCATTGGGGTACTTTACTCAGCAACACACATATTTCTTCGATAATAAAATTGTTGTAGTGACAGAGTTGACGCTTTATAACTAGATCAGTAAGAGGCAGCCATATTCGTTTTCAATTTGTCGTTAGAGGGGCCATTGGATTTCCCCGTAAACGTAATTATTACTCGGAAACATGACTCATGCATTCAGAATTGTATGATAATAGAGACGCCAGGGGGTAATATATCACATGGCTATGTTGACTATATGAAAAGGTTCAAAGGTCATATTATATCAGTATACGTATCTCAAGTTAGTTTGGATTTCACACTATCATGTCTTACCATGAACTGCTAGTATATTTGCGATAAAACACAATAAAACGGGAACACAAAGCGTCATTCATTGTGGCACGTTGTTTGGCCAAGATTTCTATTCAAAACTACTTAATGGATGTCTGTGAATGCGAGTAATTGCATTATACTGACTTTTTGAACCATATATTCAATAAAGGTTTTCCAAAAAAACTAGGTCATTACTCAATGTCGTCATGAATAGCCCAACCACTAAAACCTGTATCTGCCTCCTGTCGACCATTCATGGCGCCCGCAACGATCGCCAACACAATATATATGCTCATCATACCATTTACCCATATAATATACCATATTACCCATTTACCTACTTAACAGATCAGTTAGCATTTAGCAATCTAACAAGTATTTTTTTTTTTCTTTTACATTCTCATTTGATATTATAGCTGAAATGTATAGCCAACCGTCATTTTAAATTTAGAATAACATCCAACAAGCTAATGACCTGATTTTCTCACTAGTGACATATTATGTTAGTGGACTATCATTTTTATCCCCAAATGAATGGGATCGATCCTGGAAAGCAAGTGATACTTATGTTTTGGTGACATCCTATTGTTTGTTGAGACTTTAGGTCCATTTATTACTTGACAGTGGATATTAACCAGATTTGTGGTGATCAATGAAGGGCGCCACCTTTGTTCATGTGCGTGCATTTTTTATGCATAAAGGGATGAGTCGTGTTAATTTGACGTCTTGTGTGGTATGTGTTTTGTTAGTGTCCCGCCTATGTGTGGATTTCTGTGTCAAACTTATTGTGGACGGTCCCAAATCTGGATATTCTGATAGAGCATGAATATGGGCGTCGTATAATACCAGACATTACCAAACTGTACAATAACTCACGAAACGTTAGTGGTGTTTTGAAGCAGCTGACCAAACGTTCACAACACCGATATGTTCACGTCCACGGAATGGACGGGCGGACGCAGGTCGTTGCTGAATTTACTGGATTTTTATCTCGATGAGCATAAAGGGAATGACATTGACGTCGGACATTGATTAAACAATAAAAATAGTGTGTACATTCCGATGTTGTGTGATAATTTTGCCTTTACTGAACGATATGTTGAGAAGTCATACACGAAGATTGAGCAAAGTCTGAATTTCCATTTTGGCCTTAGAGAATTGGTAGTAATTTGTGAAATAACATTTCCATGTCAAATCGCGAGAAAACTGCGTATCACGCTCATTTGCGTAGACCCCGGTTTTTCGTTAACATTTTATCGTCTGTATGCATACGTTATCGTATCCCAACTGAAGTGTGTGACCTCGCTCTGACCCCAGGATTGCCGAACTCTTATGCGTTGTGATACAGGAGACTCCATAGAAATAACGTGTTGATATGTTAAAGTATAGCAAATACTTAATACATGGAACTACGTCGAAACAGATGGTTTTATTATAATAACTGAATATTCTGATAAAAATAGGAATTATTCAGAACTTATATGATGCAAATGTGTATATCACTTCAAATTTTGTGGTTAGTTGTACATAAAATGCAATATTTTTAATGAAGTAGATGTAGTAGATGTACATGCATATCCAGGAGTGTGGATGAACTTGAACTCGAGTGATCTGTGACTTTGACTCAGAAGATTGATACTATAACTTGGCCCGCGGTGACCTTGACCCCTTCCCGAGTGCCGTGAAAGTGTTGTTTTCAACTGAATGGCATGCCTGCAGTAGCCAGCTGAACTATATGTAGTGACTTTAATAACAATGTACCTCACCATTGGTGACTCTTGCTATAATACTGATGGTCTTCAGCTATCCTGTGAACATTGCATCCTTAGTTTCAATAAATTACGGAGTATTCTCTTGCCCTGTGCCCAAGTGCAGGCCAGTGCATGGTAGGTTGTGTATGAGAGTTCCCAGCGATTTGGATATCAGTATAGTGTTTCCTTACATGTCTGTGATCTCCACTACTATAGTGAACCAATTACTTACCCTGAACACAAAGATGTATTATGTGCACTAATATCCTAATGTTTGAACAATATTTATAATCAAAATGTACATGTATACACTACATTTCATTTTGTTCTGCAGTCAATTTGTAATAATATTGTCTGAATACAATATAAAATGAAATTCATCTGCAGGCTCATCAATTTTCCTATTTTTAAAAAATATCTCTTGTACATTCACCTGACCGAATGGCATGCTATTGCAGTGGCAGTGACACTTTCAAGTCTTAAGCATAATGTAAACTAATATGTGCTGATAATTTATCAGTGTTTGCGTCGATATAGGATAAGAATTCTAATAAATTATTTATCATTCCTGTTTATTTACTTTGAGGAATTTTCGTGATATTTGTTATATAATTTACAAATCAACACAATTGTTCAATAAAATATACAATGATTGATATTCTGTGCATGACTGAACTTAGAAACCAGTATTAGTTAAATGATTTCAAATGAAAATGAAAAAAAAATTGTAGGGCAAACACACAGTGTGATAAGATAGCATTAGGAGAAAAACGAAACGAAAAACATTTTATTGATTTTTTTATTCATGCCTTTGATTTTGAGTTAAAGCTATAAGATGACGAACCTGTTCGTGAATTTGAGATCATCAAGTTTGACGGACTATCTCTTCAGAAATAGGGAGAACATAACAATTCCGACACCCGCTCTAAAACATTATTATAATGTACAGTTACAGTGAAAAAAAACAAAACAATCAAAAACATAGAAATTGAAATAAATATAAATTGACCCAATAAACTATGTATAACAAATTAGAACATTATAATATATAATAGTGAATTGGTTAAATGGTACATACATTCAAATATAAATATGCAGGCAATATGTTATATAATATATACTTCACCAAACGAACCAGTTTTGTTTTTAAAAATGATATGAACAAACAAACTTCCTGTTTATCGATTAATAGTTAACAAGATATATCCACATAGTTCTTAAATATATTGATACACAATCAAAGACTCTTTTTTTCTGTTGTATTTGAGGCTACGAGTTGGGCATTATTGAGACGATAATACACTTCCTGTCTGCTCAATAAATCGTCGTGTTTCCCTTCTTCAACAATCTTTCCATTCTGTATAACCACAATCTTATCAGCATCTTGAATCGTTGATAGACGATGAGCGATTACAATACATGTCCTTCCTTCACTGGCTCTGTCCAATGCGTCCTGTACAACCTGTAGGTGTAATACAACATTAAAGGTAATGTATTGAAATTTGATCACGAGTATGACAATAATTACATATGCAACACACATAAAAATGCCTAGTTTACAGTTTCTAATGTTTCTTGGACAAAAGCTATTATAGTATTAATTGATATGTTATTCTTTTATAAACACGACAATCACAAACAAATTAGTTTTAATTGAATTGAATTTATGTTTTCCATATAAAGAATGTATTACATTCTAAATATTTCTGTTAATTACTGAATTTTTCAATACCACTAAATATTAAATACAGGTCTTTGCGAGTGTGACAGAAATAGATACATTGTAAGTTAGGCTGGGTGACAAGTGTGTTGGTTTAAGAAAAAACAACACGAAAATATATATCGAATAAAATGCCTGGCAAATAAATAGTTTTTCTCAGTACTAATATGCTAGGTATGGCACGATGTTATGTACACTGAACTGTATCATTTGTACATTATCAGTATATGACTACATGGGCACAAAATTGGAAGCCACCAGTACATGTGATACTTCTCCACTCACCTACAATTAAATCATAGGTTAATAAAATAAAGTGTTGAGTCGTTGAAAAAATCATAAAACATATATTAATCATGCCGTATGTATATAGCGTTTTACCTTTTCGCTTTCAGTGTCCAGAGCAGATGTTGCTTCGTCTAATAACAGTATCTTTGGGTTCCTCACAAGAGCTCTTGCAATAGCTACTCTTTGTTTTTGACCTCCTGAGAGCTGGGCACCTTTATCACCAACTCTCGTATCGTAACCCTGTATTGCAACATATAGCATATAAGGTAATTGTTGTGGGTAATTTGAAGAACATTAGTTTCGAGTCGTGAAAGCATTCAAATAATATTGATGTTAAATGAGTGCGAGAAATATTATTAAGATTGCGAGACAGAATATTAGAAATAATAACTAAGAAGTATATAATACTGACCAATGGCAGTGACTGTACAAAGGCATGTATATTTGCATCTTTTGCAGCTTGTATTATTTCATTCATGGGCACTTCTCTGGAGTTATCACCGTATGCGATGTTATCTTTAATTGTACGGTCAAACAATATTGGTTCTTGTGAAACGATTCCTAACTGTTGTCGCAACCACTGGATATTTAAATCTTTGAGATCATTACCATCAAGTGTCTAGAAAATAAAATAATGGCAATACAGAAAAGCTTAATGTCAATTCCATCAATTTAAATGCATATATTGTGTTGCGACATTATGATGAAATCAATAACGATAAATCACTTACCACACTGCCAGCAATAGTATCGTAGAATCTTTCCGTAAGTTGCACAACCGTACTCTTCCCACAACCGCTGCTACCTACCAACGCTACACGTTGTCCGGGGTTTACTTTAAGATCACTCCCTCTAAGCACTGGTACGTCTGGTCTGGTTGGGTACCGGAAACGAACATCATGCAGTTCTAATTCGGAAATGCATCGGACCTAAAAACAATATAATATTTATCCCAATTAAATACATAAACTGTATTTATTGTCACCAGAGGGAGGTCCTGTTAAAATAAATCAAATTGGCAAGAAATCCATTCATTGTAAACTCACTGGTTTTAGTCCCTCTGTACTTCCACTATCGATCTTCCGATTCCCTGTCCAGTAAAGTAGAAAATTTGATTGGCAGCAACTCTAGCCTTGGCTGCATCAGGGGCGAATGAAGTCGTCTGACCCACAGCCATTGCACCGAAAACCATCACAGCAAATACCCTGTTCATAATAATATTCAGACTTCAGAACAATTTCTCGTGTGGATGAGTAAAACATATTTTTGTTTCGTTGAATAATAGTATATTTATCATCATCAACAGCAATAATCTATTATATTGATTGAATATAAGATAATCAAATGAATACATATTTAAGAAAACACTATAAATGAAAAAGTTTTAATTTTACATTGGTATGTAATTTTTACTACATGTATACTCACAAGAAGACTTCTTCAAATGTCATTTCACCGATCTCCATCATGAATGCACCAAATCGGAAAGCAGCTGCCATAACAAAGAACATAATCGCCTGTGAAAAGCCGTACGTGACGCCATAGATATGGGCATTTTTCAAACCTAGTTTGTATGGTGCATATAGGAGATCGGAATAGATTCGGCAGAAGCGTTCTTCTCTTGTCAGCGAAGCCACAGTCCTTATATTATCGACGCCTTCTGAAGCAACCTAAAGAAGATTCGCTAAATGATGTAATTTCAACTTTATACCATAACATTACAGAGTGAGTAGTACCGCATTATATTTATGAAACGAGACGGGTGACGAGGTGATTTTCTCAGTGGTGATTCCAAGGTGAATGTCACAAATGAAAATATCCTTGTTCGCTGGTGATTTTTTTATTTTTCCTCAAGGATGATTGACACCCACAGGCTTTCCTGTCATGTTTGATTGGTCGCTATACCAAACATAATCAGCGTATCGTAGTGCGAGGCTGCTAGCGAGCTCTGGGACAGAGTATCCGTGTACTTTTGCTACAATGCTATTCCACAGTCACTTTCTCACTCGCAATGTAAAAATGTCAAAACTTTCTCTCTCGTTGTATTAGCCGTACGAGAATGTAAGTGCCCAAGTGAAAACGAATTCTATAAGCGACCTTCTAAATTATGCAGATTATGAGGCCAGTGAAAATGAAACTGTTCTTCAGATTTTTCTCTAAGCTTTGTGCTTTATGATGGCAGCAAATTCACTGGTATTGACAAGGCTACAAAATAATATGTCGCAGAAGGTGTTTTGGGTTGGCCATCATTATTTGAATAATTATAAATAATCGCCTCTCATATGTTAAAGGGCGGTGGTCTCGCGCCGCGTCCTG